CCTCCCCCGCTTCCCCGGGTCCCCCTCTCCAGGCAGGAAGATGTCCAAGCCCCGCGCGGTGGAGGCGGCGGCGGCGGCGGCGGCGGTGGCAGCGACGGCCCCGGGCCCGGAGATGGTGGAGCGGAGGGGCCCGGGGAGGCCCCGCACCAACGGGGTAAGCAGGCACCCTCCCCGCACTCACCCGGCGCGCCCCGCCGGCCCCGCGCCGCGAGCACGTGGGCTCGCCCCGAGGCCCCCGCGCCGCCCTGGGGCAGGGATGCGGGCGGGGCGCCCGGCCTGGCAGTTTCCTTTTCTGCTGCCTGCCTGGGAGTGGCGTCCACACTTGCTCCGCCATGACCCTGGCGCTATGTGACCTCGGAAAACTTTGTGTCTTTATGGCATTTCCACACCCCGAGACCTGGCTACCACGGCGGTGGCTGCCTTCCCAGGGTGTGCGGGGCCTGCCCGGGTCCCTCAGAGCGGTCACTGGTCTCCCTGACTTGGTGTTGAATAGCTCACCAGGCAGAAGGGCCCTAGCAGTGTCTCTGGGGGAGCCCTCCTCCTGTCTGTGCTTACTCAGAGGAGAGGCCCCACGCCAGAGACACCAGCAGTGACCCTGACCGCCCCACCAGCCTGCCCACCCTCCTGTTAACGCCAACATGCCGTTTGCAACTGAGTGACCACCTGAAATGTGCTGGCACTGGGCCCTGCTTTCGTTAGCTGTCCACTCCCCACCCCACCCGAGAGAGATTTTCTCCCAACCGCAGTCCAGTCTGCAGTCCAGTCTGCAGTCCCGAGAGGCTGCTGGGCTGCATTGGTTTGAAAGGGGCCAGGCTTGGGCACACAGAAGACTCAGGCGGTAGTGACAAGTCCTACCAGCTGACTCAGGACCTAGAAGTGGTTCATCAGGTTCCCTGAGGCCTGTTTCTGTGCTCCAGTCCCTCCAGCTCCTGCCAGCGGGGGTGAGTCCCTGTACAAAGGCCAGCCCTTCAAATTCCTCATTTGTTTACTCGGGGTCATTTTGACCTCCCTGCTGTTGGTATTTTGTCTTCTTATATAGACCTTTGTGTACAGCTGGTTCTCCTGCTGGCCAGATATCCCCTTAGTGACCAGAGTTAGAGACCACATGTGTTCAGGAAACATCCGACTTGGACCTGGGAGTTGCAAAACCTTCCGCTCTACTGGGGCTGGCACCCCCTGGTCGTCCTGCTTTTTTTTGAGAGATGATGATGTTGGTTTTGTGAGATGCTATGGGACCTTCTTGTTCTTCAAGCGTCTTTCAGAATATGCGTTTGTCGTTTTAGGAGAACGTGTTTACCGGGCAATCAAAGATCTATACCTACATGAGCCCGAACAAATGCTCTGGAATACGTTCCCCCCTTCAGGAAGAGAACTCAGTTGCACATCACGAAGTCAAATGCCAGGGGAAGCCATTAGCCGGAATCTACAGGAAACGGGAAGGTAAGTCTCTGAAATGGCCCTGTTCTGACCACAGCTGCTGGGGCTGCAGAAGCCTGTCTTCTCCGGAATTATGCATACACATTATGTTTTTATGCAGCTTTTTCGCACCCAAGTTCGCAAGGAGCCCTGTTCTGTCTTGCTGCTGAGAAACAGACATGGGGGAAAGAGGAGCCTGTCCCAGGGCGTGGGGGCCTGTCCCAGGGCGTGTGCCCTGTTGGTCTAACAGGTTCTTCTGCTTTCACAATAGTTGGCATGTCCTTCAAGCTTGGTTGTCTTGCCAAGTTGCAAAAAGAACGCACCTGATTTGCCGTTTAAGAGGCCCACAGGTGCCAGAAGTGCAGAAATTATGAGTCCAGGTTGTACAGACCAGGCGCTTGCAGTTCTGTGTTGTGCGAACGCCAGGAACTGACTTCCTTCCCTTTTATGAGCTGGCCTTGACTTCATTTCTAAAGTTTCTTCCCACTCGAGAGTTCAGAGCTACTCTCTAAAGCAGCATAATCCGCAGTGAGATTTGGAGTTAAAATATTGAACAAGAAAATGCCCAGTTATTGAAAATAATGCCTGCTCTTGCAAAGCGAAGCAAGCTGAAAGCTCCTAGAAATCGTGCTCTAATCCAAATAGTCCCTTTTCAAGCTACATTGGGGAGTGTCAGCTCTCCTCAGTTCACCGTGCTCCCTTCTAATAAAACTTGCCTTAAAGACGCAGAACTCTGGCCACCAGCAGTTCCATACAAGGAAGCCTTGTATTCATTAACGGAGAACGCCATAAGTGATGGGTCAGTCCAGTCTTTGGGGCCAGATCTGAGAACCAGGGGCGGGGGAGCCCAGAACCGGGGGCTGGACCAGCCCCGGCTTGATTCTCCCCCGTATACAGGGCACTACTCTTGTGTCAGTCTTCAAATGACGTAGGTTCTAACCCTCACTCTGCCACTTCCATGGAGGAAGCTTGGGCAGGTTGCTCCTCTGTGTTTGAGCCTCACTTCTCCCGTCTGTAAAGTGGGAGAGTAGAGTCCTACCTCGCAGAGTGATTCTGAAGGTCAGCTAAAGCATGGGTGCAAAAGGGCTGTGAAATCCTCCGTACCATCAGCCTTTCCTTTGCTGGACTGTGAGTTTCAAGTATTGCGGCCAGTTCCTCCCTCATTGGCGGCACTTAGGATGACACCTACCACGCAGGGACCAGGGGAGGGGCGCCTTCTAAATGGTGGTCAGCCAGCCTCACATCCCTTCTGGAATGAGGCAGAATGTAAATGGTCCTAAATGGTGACATGATGCACAAGCTAGCTTGTTTGGGCTTGTAGTGTTACTAAATGGCAATGATTAGAATTTTGGGACAGATACACTTCGGAGGAAACCCCAAGGGCAGTCCCTTGTCCTTGATTCTCAATCTTTCTCTGCCTTGACGCAGACTGACGTGACAGCCGACATTCACGGGCACCACACACTCCTAGGGTTACGCTGACGTCCCGGCTTTGTCTTCCTCTGGTTCCACTCAAGAAGGCCTATAAGGGAGTGAGAATGGCCTGGATGGGTTTTGATGTCTTTATTTTTCTCTTTTGTGTATCGAGATACAATTTAGGTATCATAAAGTTTACCATTTTAAAGTGCACAATTCAGTGGTTTTAGTATATGCTCAGAATTGTGCAGCCATCACCAGTATCTAATTCCAGAACATTTCATCCCCGCCTAAGAGAGACCTAGTCCCCATTAGCAGTCACTCCGCATTCCTCCTCTCCTCCAGCCCCAGGCAACCACTAATCTACTTTCTGTCTCGATGGATTTGCCTATTCTGGACATTTCCTATAAATGGAATCAAACGATACATAGCCTTTTGTGTTTGGCCTCTTTCAGCATATTTTCGCAATTCATTCATGTGGTAGCGAGCGTTAGTACTTCATTCCTTTCTGCGACTAAATAATATTCCACGTTTTATTTAGTCATCCATCAATTGATGGACATCTGGGTTGTTTCCACTTTTTTGCTATTAGGAATAAGCTGCTACATTCATATACAGGTTTTTATGTAGACATATGTTTTTAATTCTCTTAATAGATGCCTAGGAGTAGAATTGCTGGGTCATATGGCAACTCTATGTTTAACTTTTTGAAGAACTGCCAGACTCTCTTCCAAAGTGACTGCACCATTTTACATTCCCACCAGCAGTGTAGTATTTACTTATTTTTTAAAAAGTAAACCATTTTTTTAAAAAGTGACCAGTTCACCAACACCAGTGCTCCACAACTGGTTTTAGTAACAGATCATTTCGGGGTCCTTCACAACGTACTGATCAGTGTCCAGGCACCGTGCTGAGGACATCTGTGAGTGCCGGATGTTGACCCCGTTAGAAGAGGGAACCCTGAAATGAAGTGTACCAGGCAGCTCCTGGGGAGAAGGTTCTGTGTTACTGCCTGTTCCTGTCTGCCACCGCTGGCCCACTTTAGGAATTTAGCTTTTTTCCTGGGGTCTGCAGCCCCATTCCTGAAAGTTACCGATCGGACTCTCATGCCAGTATTGCTACCTGCGGTGCGTCTGCTTTCAGGTCTCTGATGCAGGAGACCGATGTGTTCATGAACTAGATGGGAGGAGTCTTTTCACAGTGTATACATGTATCAAATCATCGTTAGGTACACTTGAAATCTCTTGCTGTTTTGTCAATTATAGCTCAATAAAACTGGAAAAAGAAAAATACAGAAGGCCAAAAGCTCTGCCCTGCGTCTGGGTCCAAAAGTAAAGCCAGATGCTTCTCCCACGAGAGCCGTTAGCGGGCACCGAGCTTACTAGGCTGAGGGCACTGCTGCCCGGCACACTCGTGACCCTTTCCTCTCTTCAAGCCTGTCTTAGAACGCAGCTAACAACAGTCTAGAAATTGGGAGAGAGAGCATCTAGAATAAACCTCTGTCTTTCTGCACCCTCTGCCTCCAGAGAAAAGAAACACTGGGAATGCAATACGAAGCACCATGAAGTCCGAGGAACTGAAGATCAAAGACGCCAGGAGAGGTCCCCTGGCACCTTTTCCAAACCAAAAATCCGAAGCCTCAGAACCTCCAAAAACTCCGACCTCGTCTTGTGATTCTCCCAATGCAGCCGTCGCCAAGCCAGCCCTGAAAAAGCCCGCCAAGGGCAAACAGGCCCCTCGGAAAAAGTAAGTGCCTCCTGGATTCTCGTGACCCCGTGATGCTGGTTAGGGTTAAGCAGGCCACCTTCTCGCACACTAAGGCTCCAGTGCCTTGAGTCACACCAGTGACACCATTATTTGTCAGCATCTCAGCCTGGCACGGGTCCAGATTCTCAAGAACCACCACCCTCCCAACGAAAGCAAGCAGCCTGTCTCCGAATCTCTCTCTGAGGCTTCGTGACCACAGGCTGCCGTGGACACGGGTGTTTCAGTGACATCATTTCCAAGGAGCTGGCCCCTAAGGAGTTGTGTGTTTCCTGGGTGCGAGTGTGGTTTCAGTGTGAATAAGTCGTTCTCTCCGCTTCCCTCCCCACCCCAGAGCTCAAGGAAAAACGCAACAGAATCGCAAACTCACAGATTTCTACCCTGTGAGGAGGAGCTCCAGGAAGAGCAAAGCTGAGCTGCAGGTAGGGTCACGTGGTTTTAATTACAGCTCTTGGAAGGGCACGCAGCCCAGTGGGCAGTGCTTGGCATGCACGACCTGAGCTTTCTCTGTGTCATCTTGGGGCGCGTCTCTGCCTCTGTGGCCTCGGTAGTCTCCTGGGTCTAGTGGGGATCATCATAATGCTTGGGGTCACTGTATGGCATGGTTAAGATGCCTCTGAGAAGGAGCCCTATAACCTGGAGCGCGTGGCAGGGAAAGGCAGGCGTTTTTCCCTGAAGGTGGCTTTTCCAGACTTGTCGGCAGGGCCATTGGAGCCTGAGACCATGGGGAAGGCCACGTGTTCTTTCAGAGGTGGCTCTGTCGGCTGTCCAGAAGTCCCCACATCGTGTCTCAAGGTGATAAAAGAGCTGTGGCTTCAGAGCCACTTCCTGGTTATATGACCTTGGGCCAGCGACTTGACTACTCTGTGCCTTGGCTCCCTCTCTGCAAAATGGGGTAATGAATATCTTGGGCTGTTGGGAGGATTAAATGTCTTGATACCCATAGAACACGTAGAACCATGCCTGGCACACAGTAGGCTCTGTTTCCCCAGTGCTGTCACTTCCGGGGGCTCCTCTCTGCCCTTCCCACCCAGCTGTGATCCCTGGGCACATGTGAAAAGCAGGCCGGAGGGCCACGTCTGCTGTGCCGACTCCGCCCCCTGTTTGTGGGAGTGCAGCTGTCAGTCAATATTTGATGCAGTGAGGTGTGGTTATTGCCTTTCTGTTAAGGAAACCTGGGGTGTGGTCTAGTCCTGCAGTCCACTGGCTGCTTCCTTCCACCTTCCACTCAGGGGCCTCCTCGCTCACCCCCAGAGCAACCTCAAGGCAGGGGAGCAGTGCTCAGGATTGCCGCCCCCACAGGGAGTTAGGGGGCCCTTGGCTGCACATAGTCTCCTTCCGGCATTTTTATGTGAAGTCTATAGACACAGATCTGGTAGTCTAGTATTCTTTCTCTGTTGCTCTTTTTTTCTTTGAATTGATGAGTCTTCATTTAAAAATTAATAATAATAATAAAAAGGGGTCCATCCCCCTACCCCCACCCCCCAACAGCAGCTTTGGCATTACTTCCTTAGAAAGGCAGTGTCTTCCGGCCAAGAAGGAGCTGTTAGAAAATGTTTGCCTGCAGTGGGAGGCTGTGCTAGGTCACTCTGAAAGACAGCACTGCAGCGGCCGAGGCGGTGCCAGGCCCCAGAAGCCAGACACCTCCCAGCCGCAGCCGGAGCCACAGCGTGCCCACACAGGGCGGGCCTCAGGCTGCAGGGTGGGGGCAGCTGAGCTGGCCTTTGGCATAGAAAAACAAGGGCTTTTCTGTCTGGGGGAGCAAAGGCTGCAGTGGGCCATGAGGCAGGTCTGTGGAGTCTCGCAGCAGATGAGGGGAAGGGGACAGACACTCGCTTCGCCAAAGCCCGGCCTGTGGCCCAAGAAAGCCGCTCTGTCACTGGGCGAAGAGCCCTGCTGTGTCCCTCATGTTTGTGTTGGCTCTGCTGAGTGAACACCGGGCCAGGCGGGGGTTGGCCAGGCGGTGCCTTCCCTTGATGGCACAGGTAAAACTCAAGGGCAGGGTAGCTGGGCCTCATCCGAGGGGTGAGGTCAGGCCTGACCTGCCTGCCCTTCTGGGCAGCAGAAACCGGGGCCTTGGTGGGTGAGGCCTAAGAGGGGGGGTGTGCGGAACCAGGGGTGAAACTGAAATTAAAAGCCTGACAGACACGTCATCGAGTTTGAAGACAGAGTGGGCCGGGTCCAGGGTCCAGGGTCCGGGTCCAGGGCGGGAGGGTGGGAACTGGGCCTTGGAGAGGTGCCCTGACCGCCCTCACCCAGACCTTGCGTCCCTCTCCTCAGCTCAGTCTGCCTCTAGGACCCTCTGTGGGCCACTGCCAGAATTTTCTCTAGCAAGCCTCCAGCTGGTTGTTGGCGTGCCCCAAGCCACCCAGACTCCAGAATGAAACTCAGTCTCTGTGACGCTGATTTCAGGGCGTCTAGCCGGGCCCCAGCCTTCCTCAGCTCATCTCCTCTGTGCCATCCATGTCTGCTCACAGCAGGACCGCCCCCCCGGCCCCCTCCGCCAGTCTCCTGCCCCAGTTTTCCTATGATTACTGCCATTACATAGCTCACTATATTTCTCCTCACTTGTCCCTGCATGGGGTGTGTGTGTGTGTGTGTGTGTGTGTGTGTGTGTGTGTGTGTGTGTTATTGTTGTTGCTTTGAGGGCTTACTATGTGCCAGGCGCTGTTCTAGGCTAAGAGATTCCACAGGAAACGAGACCAGGCCCCTGTACTTAGGGAACTTATATTTGTGTGGGGAGTGATTAACATTTTTTAAAAAGAAGACAACCAAAAAGATCATTTCGGATAGCATGTTGACATTAATAAAACCAAGTCGTTTGATGGTGTGGCTAGGCTAAGGCTGCTTTAGCCAGGGTCATCAGGGAAAGTTCTCTGAGGGAGGTGCCTTTTGAGCCGAGGTTGGAAGGAAGGGAGGAGGCAAGCCAGGCAAACGGATTGGGGGAAAGGGTACTCTAGGCAGGGGAACAGCAAGTGCAAAGGCCCTGAGGCAGGAACAGCCTGGCCTCCGGAAAGAGTCAACCAGTGTGGAAGCAAGGGTAAAGGTCGCAGATGAGGCTAGAGAGGCCGGACCTGGATCCGCAGTCCCTCACAGGTCATCGGAAATGGATTTGATCCCAGTAGCAGTGGGAAGCCACTGAAAAGCTTTTGTTTTCCTTTAAAGAAACTTTTTGTCTTGAAATAACTTTAGATTTACAGAGGAATTGCAAAGACAATGCAGTGTTCCCATAGACCCTTCCCCAGTTTCTGCCACAGTTAACATCTTAGGGTGCCATGCCACATTTGTCACACTAGGGAACCAACGCTGGTACTAATGTATCCAATAAACTTACCGGAAAGCTTTAAGCAGGAAAATGATATGATCTCATTTACACTTTTATTTTATTTTAAATTTTATTGGGGAACAGTGTTTTTCCAGGACCCATCTGCTCCAAGTCAAGTAATGGTTTCAATCTAGTTGTGGAGGGTGCAGCTCAGCGGCCCGTGTGGGGATCGAACCGACAACCTTGGTGTTATGAGCACTGCGCTCTAACCTTCTGAGCTAACTGGCGGCCCCTCGTTTACATTTTTAAAAGATGCCTCTGGATGCTGTGTGGAGAGCAGAGTAGGAGTGGGGGTTCAGATTGGAAGCCAGGAGACCCCAGAGGCGGCTTCTGCGGGTGTCGGGGCAAGTGCACACGTGCCTTGGTCGCAGGGCAGAGGTGGAGATGGAGAGGAGTGGGCTGGGCTTGCGACTGCCTGGTGGAGTCTGCTGCAGCACTTGTAAACCCCTCCAAGGCTGCAGAGACCTGGCCCTGCTCACCACCGGTCCCCAGTACATATCGTAGACGTTCAATAAATACCTGTGGGCTGAGGTCCCATGTGGGCTGCAGGCCAGTTCTGCAGGCCAAGGCAGTGTCCCACGTGGAGCCTCGTGCAGAAGGGCCTGAGCTCAGCTGTAGGTGGAGGGCTCAAAGTTCACACAGCTCCCGTGTGTGCTGTCCAGTTTGCTGGGTCAGGGCTCCTGGTCTGTCTCTGTGTAGCTGCCTTCGGGTCCTTGTGCACCGCCCGAGCAGTGGGCCCAGGGTCGGCAATGGAGGTAGTGCCAGGAGGGGCGGTCCTGAGGGACAGGTGTGCGCAAGCGCGCCCACTCCTCTCCAGCTTTTCTGTCCAGGGTGGTGCTGACTCCTTGGGGTGGGAGGCCCTCTGTGCCCCATCTAATGGTGCAGCCTCCAATCAGCGCTAGTCAGTGTTGCACAAAGTCAGAATTCTGACAGTAGATGTCAGCAATTTAAATATTTTTCTAAAACACAGCATGAGCCACAACATAGCCACAACCTCATCTTGTGTTTGGGCCACCACTGTGTCCCTCCTGGTCCATTTGAACCCCAGGTGGCAAATTGTCCACAACAGATGGGCGATGAGAAAAGGACAGGAGGTTTGGGGGCTCTGCATCCTTGGGGACCAATGTCATGGAGCCAGCTGTGGGTGACCTTGTGGCGTTGGGTCCAGAATGGTCTGGGAGGGAATGCTGATGTGCTCCTTGTTTTTACTTCCCAGTCTGAAGAAAGGAAAAGAATAGACGAATTGATTGAAAGTGGGAAGGAAGAAGGCATGAAGGTAAGGGCGGCAGGGCCCACAGTGGAGGCCAAGGCTGCAAGGCCAGGGCGGCGGCGTGCTGCTTCAACCCTTTAATGGTCCGACCAGTCAGACTGCTAGCTGTTGAGGGGCCAGATGCTCAAACCATTGTGAAGGGAACGTCTCAGAAAGGATTGTACGTGAAATGTTATCCTGGCAAAACTTTCAATTGTGGAAAATACCTACAACATAAAATATACGATTTTAGCCATGTTACAGTGTACGATTAAGTGTCTTCACAATGTTGTGCAACCACCATCCCTGTCTAGTTCCAGATGGTTTTCCTCCTCCCAAACGGAAACCCCACCCCCATCAGCAGCCACTCCCCACTCCCTCCACCCCCAGCCCCTGGCAGCCAACCACCAGTCTGCTTTCTGTCTCTGTGGATTTGCCTGTTCTGGGCATTTCCTACAAAAGGAATCACACAATAGGTGCCCTGTTGTATCTGGTGTCTTTCATTTAGCATGATGCCTGGGGAAACTTTTAAAAGGAGAAACTAATAAATTTTTTCCTAAAGTCTGTTTTCCTGGGGAATGGCACTGAGTCCGGGCTACACCGCTTCCCAGTCACGTGACCTTGGACAAAGCGCTGCTCTGTGAGCCTCGTTTTTCTCATCTGCAAAATGGGGCAACACCCACCTAGCAGATCTCTTATGAGGTTCCAATGTAACAATGCTTTGCTGATGGGCACAAGGGACCTTGTTGGGGGTGACAGATCCCGGGGACAGTTGCACAGTTGTATACATTTAATACCCATCGAACCATATATGTAAAATGAGTGAATTCTAAGGCGTGCCTCAGGAAAGCTGTTGAAAGAGTGCTACAAGCCCCAGCCACCCTGGAAGCCGGCCGGCATGAACCAACCCTCTCTCATCACCTCCCAACAGATTGACCTCATCGATGGCAAAGGCAGGGGCGTGATCGCCACCAAGCAGTTCTCCCGGGGCGAGTTTGTGGTGGAATACCACGGGGACCTCATCGAGATCACGGACGCCAAGAAACGGGAGGCTCTGTACGCACAAGACCCCTCCACCGGCTGCTATATGTACTATTTTCAGTACCTGAGCAAAACCTACTGGTAAGTCCACTACCGCTGTGAGTGGCAGAGAGGCACGGGCCACAGGGCTAGGGGTGCAGGAGCATCCAATTCTCCCTATTGCTCCAGCTTCCTGTTTAGTTTTTTTTTTTTTTTTTAGCTGAGCCATCCTGCCACCTGTTGGCAGCTCAGTGGCTGCTCAGCTCTGGCCGGGAAACGAACCGGCAACCCTGTTGCTCAGAGCTCGCATTCTTTTATTTTATTTTATTTTTTATTGTTAGTTTCAGGTGTACAGAACAATGCAATAGTTATCCTTTTTACCCCTCACACAGAAACAACCCCCCTCCCCCATCTACTGCCCTCCCACCCCCGATATCATATTTATCTATTACAATTCCATTGACTCCATTCCCACTCTCTACTCCATGTCTCGTGACTATATGTATATATAATTATAGTTGACATACATTATTATTCAACATTAGCCTCAGAAATACAGTGCGGTGGTCAGGCTTCTACACTGACTATGAAGTGGTCTCCCCAACAAGACATGAGTCCATCTGGCCCCCTAAAAAATATCTACAACATTATTGATTATATTCCCCAGACTGTCTTTTCTATCCGAGGCCATATTATAATTACCAATTTGTATTGTTTCATCCCCACCCACTCCCAACTAGCCACCCTCAGTTTTTCCTCTGTGTCTCTGAGACTATTTCTGTTTACATTTCTCATTTATTCAGTTTTTGAGAATCCACGTATAAGTGAGATCATATATTTGTCTTTCTCTGACTGACTTATTTCACTTAGCATAATGTTTTCTAGTTCCATCCATATTGTTGCAAATGGTACTATTTCCTTCTTCTTTATAGCTGAGTAATACTCCACTGGGTAAATGTACCATAGTTTCTTAATCCAGTTGTCTACCGATGGCCATTTCGATTGTTTCCAAGTCTTAGCTATTGTAAATAGCGCCACAATGAACATAGGGGAGCATGTATTTTTTCGGATTAATGTCTTGGGTTTTTTTGGATAGATACCTAAGAGTGGAATTGCTGGGTCATAAGGTAGTGCCATTTCCATTTTTTTGAGATACCTCCATACTGATTTCCATAGTGGCTGCACCAATCCGCAGTCCCACCAACAGTGCACCAGGGTTCCCTTTTCTCCACAATCTCACCAACACTTGTTATTTGTTGATTTATTGATGATAGCCATTCTGACCAGGGTGAGGTGGTATCTCATTGTGGTTTTTGTTTGCATTTCCCTAATGCTAAGTGAGGTTGAACATTTTAAAAATATGGAACGCTTCACGAATTTGCGTGTCATTCTTGCGCAGGGCCATGCTCATCTTCTCTGTATTGTTCCAATTTTGGTATATGTGCTGCCAAAGCTCGCACAGAGCTCGCACTCTTGAGCGAGCTCTTAACCGAGCCACTCAGCCAGCTCCTATTTAGTTCTTGCTGCCATTTTTCAAAGCTGTCAAGCAGCTGCCCCCCGCCCCATTCGCATTTTTAATATTTGGGATTGGAGCCGTTCTAGGTGCCATCTTATCAGACAAGGAGCAGAAGTGGACTTGTCACTGCTTTGAGGCTCACCTGGCCTCTCCCCATCGGGGCATTTGGCCAGAGCAGCTGTGGGAATCGAGGCTCCTTTCTCCATATGGCCAGTGTTGTGGATTGTTTTTTTTAGTAGACTTTATTTTACAGAGAGGTTTAGGTTCCCAGCAAAATTGAACGGAAGGAACAGGGAGTTCCCACACATGCCCTGCCCCCACACATGCACAGCCGGTATGGTTGTCGTTGCTTCATTTATTTATTGTGCAGAGCTCCACAGGTGCCTCACCACGGGCCTCCACAAAGCGTCTCCTCCCTTCCCCTGCCTCAGACACCCCACCCGCTGCCTCTCTTGGCTCTTAAAAGAGATTTTTGTGAGTTGAATTGCTTTCCCAAAAATGCGGCCATAAATCGACATCCCACCAGAGTTGAGAGCGAGTGTGACTCCGGCTGGGTTCAAAAGCCTCTTTATCAATTTAATAACCCTCTGTTGCCCTCTTCCCCCCGCCCCCCACCCCCGCCCCCAGCGTGGATGCAACGAGAGAGACAAATCGCCTGGGAAGACTCATCAATCACAGTAAATGTGGGAACTGCCAAACCAAACTGCACGACATCGACGGCGTGCCTCACCTCATCCTCATCGCCTCCCGTGACATCGAGGCCGGGGAGGAGCTCCTGTATGACTACGGGGACCGAAGCCGGGCTTCCATCGAAGCCTACCCCTGGCTGAAGCATTAACCGCCCGCCCCGCCCCCACCTTCTTCAATGGACAAAGTGCCCTCAAAGGGAATTGATTTTTTTTTTTTTTACACACTTAATCTTAGCAGATTCCTTCAGATGTTTTTAAAAAGTATATTAAGATGCCTTTTCACTGTAGTATTTAAATATCTGTTACAGGTTTCCAACGTGGACTTGAACAGATGGCCTTATATTACCAAAACTTTTATATTCTAGTTGTTTTTGTACCTTTTTTGCATACAAGCCGAACGTTTGTGCTTCCCGTGCATGAGACTCGGCACAGGTTTAAGAGGAAAGAGTCGAGCCTGAACTAGGACGCTGGGTGACGCTCTGGCCTCCAGCTGAAGAGCCAGGACTCTTCCCCACACACCCCCGATGTCCTGTCCGAGTGCAGCCGGCATGGGGAAGACGCCGCCTCCCGCCGGCCTGGACGGGATGTTCCCAAGCTCTTGTTTTCCTGACGTCTCCACAGGCGCACATGGAAGTGTATGAATATTTTTTAAAAAGGTTTCGCAGTTAGTTAGTCTTCCCCTCTGCTTTCTCGAAAGCTTACTGACCCGGTGGCCCGTGAGCACGGGCCGGGCCTCGATTTACTCTTCCACAGGCGGCCGCTTTTCTGGGCACCTGGAAGCATCAGGGCGGGTAATCAAAGTAGGTGTGGGCAGGGAAAAGCAATGCTTAGCTAGCCCTGCCGGAGCAGGGCTTCCCGGAACTGGGGTAATTCTTTATAGAAATGTGAACACTGAATTTATTTTAAAAAAATAATAATAAAAATCAAAAAAACAAAAAAAAGACAAAAAAAAACAAACCACGAAAAAACCACAGAAAACAACTTACATGTACATAGGTCTTAAAGTGAGTGAAGTGGCTGCGATTTTTCCTTTTTTGGTTTGGGTTTTCTTTTTCTTTTTTTTTTTTTTTTTGTAGAAGAGATTTGAGATGGTACTCTATTCTAATCAAAAATAAAGTTTTGTAGTGGGACCAGAAATTACTTATCCGAACCCCACCCCTACCCCATCCCGACCCGATTCTGCTGGGTTGAAAGTTCCTGACCTGCTGTCAGGCGTTTTGTTTGTCAGACCACCTGGTGTCCTTCCTGCGAACACGCAGACTGTGCAGCCATGAACCGAAGAGTGAGCCTGCGAGCCCTGAAGTGCAGGCCCCCATCCCAGGGCAGCGGGCAGGTCAGCACCCAGGGAGCAAGGCTGAGGGTAAAGTTTTCACCTTGACTGTGATGGCAGAGGGAGTAGGTTGATTCTCCCTCCCCAAGAAGGCCTGAATCTCACTCTGTTAACCTGCAGTCCAGGGGGCTGGGGCTCTGGAGCCGTGACCTGGGGTTTCCCGCCCCCCGGCCCCAGGTAAATGTGAATGGAGACAGGTGTGAGAGCCTGTCCTCCACCTTGATGCCCCCCAGCCCC